GTTTGTTGTTTGTTGTTGTTGTTGTCCGTGTCGTTGGGTCGTTCTAGCTCTCGTTGCTGGGGTTGATTCAGATTCAAGTACAACTATTTATTATTGTTAATCTGCTATGGTTTTGCAATTACCTGCGTTTTGTGACTATTGGGCTGATGCTGTTGAGTGGTGGTCATTCATTGTTGCTTGTAATTGAATTGTTAATTCTTAGTTGGATGTTGATTATTGTTGTCATGGTCGTTTTGATTGGCTGTTGTCTTGACGTTGTGTTGCACAGCTGTACTGGCCAGACTGACAGTGACACGACGTTCAAAGCTCACATCCATGGGTCTGTCACGTTGCCCATGAAAGGAAAAAAAGTCTACTCCAGCCTGACTGATCAACATCCCACAGCACGAGGATGTTGCGCCCTTCTTCACCATGGATCTTTGACACTGCGAGGGAGGCCAGGTGGTTCGTCATCTTCGCAAGGTCGCAGCTGGCATCGATGCAAGTGCATTGGGTCTTTGCCAACCTTTCTGCATGCTCCTTTCCCTGCCGGACTTCGTCAGTCTGGTCCTTCTTCTCTGCTTTTGTCAGCCACTTGTGCGCCGCCACCTCGTTGTCGAAAAGGTCCCTGACCATACCCATGATGTCCTGGGCGTGCTCCGCGGTCTCCTCCAGGTCTTCTGCAGCCTCAGCCATAGGCTCATCGTCTTGCTCGCCTGTGACTTTTTGCCATTCCGCGGCGACGTCCTCATGCTGGATGAGTTCGGCTGCGCCCTTGTTCCACTTCAAGCCTGTGCGGATGGCTCCATCGAACTTGGGAGTGTAGAGGAGGGTGCTCATGAAGTGCAGGGCGTTCTTCCCCTGATCCGACAAGCCCGCCATGAAGGACAGGTCTGGCACCAGACCTGAAGCATTCAAAAACCATACTTAGCAACGTGAATGACATCTTTCATGTGTGCCTTGGCTGTCGGGGTTCAGCAAGTCTCTGCAGAAGATGCGCCCACCGGCAACGTTGGTCCTCCAAGCGGTGTGATCGGCCAGCATCTTCCTGGTTTCGTTTTTGCTGGTCACAACAGGGAGTTAGTTGGCTTTGCAAGCAACACCACGCCTGATATGCACAAACTCTTCACCTGGGAGGGACGAAGCACTGAGGAGCTGGAACAGTTTCGGCACCTCAAGCCGCTTCCACATCCAAACGGCTAGAATCCTTAGATTAGAACACATGACCGGCAACGACGACTCCACATCCAAACAGCGAAGCTCCTTAGAACACATGAGCGGCAATGACGACACATGAGGGGCAAGGACGACCGTAGCTGTTGTTGTTGTTGCTGTGTAGCTTGCTGTTGTTTGATTAACTTTATACTTCTTAATCAAAATAATCGTCTTTTAAGGTGTGGTTTATTGGGGTTTAAGGTTTGTTCGACTTGCCAGGATGCCCCACGCGTTTGGTCTTCTTGTCGCCGTTGAGCATGGCAGGCGAGAGGTCCTCTGCCTTGAACACGTTGTTCACAACCCCGTCGAAGATATTCATGAGCAACCACTTTACGTGTCCAGCGTCGTTGCGGCCGGCCTTACAAATATCCACGAGCTTCTGAATATTCCCCAGCGGCGTCTTCTTGCTGAAGACCTCTTCACCCAACAGCACTGTGTCCATGAGCGGCGTGCCAGGACCAATCGTCTTCATGACGATTGCAGCGTTGTCGAGGTAGTTCTTGGTGATAGCTTCACCAGCAGTCACACGAAAGTCCCTGGCCTGAAAGGCTTGCATGAGGTCCTCTGTTGTGACTTTCTTCTTGCTGGTCTTCTCCAAGACCTGCTTCAAGTTCTCCACTTGGTACAGGCGCTGAACCTCCAAGCTAGAGATTCGGTGTTGGGAGCACTAAGTGAGTGGCTAGACAATGACAGCATTGACAAGAAAAGTGACAATGCTCACGACACTGAAAGGGTAATGACTGCAGGGCACAGGACCATAGTACATGGATGTGTAATCATCTCCGATCTTCTCCCGCATGAAAGCTGCGCTCCAAAAGTAATCCAGGTCCTTTTCCCCGACATAGGCAAAGGTCATCTGTGTGTTTCGCCAAGCCGAANNGAAACCCACTCCCGAATGAGTTCCACATCACCGCCAGACACATCGCGCCACGTTGCAATGATAAAGGCGCTGTGTTCCTCTTCTGGGGACAGCCGCTTTAACGACGAGGTCTCGCGGTGGCTTTTCTTCGTCGGGTCAGATCCTGCTGATGGCCTTATTGCACAACGTCCAAGTCAATGACCATGGGAGGCAATGACTGACAACTGGTTTCAACAAAGGCTGCACATAGAAACAGAGTATAAGTTTGACAATGACAAACAATAACAGGAAACCGGAATTGAAATGCATACCTGTGTGAAGGAGTGGCGAGATGAGGACGGTCAGTTTGCAAGGTGTGGGCTTGCAGAAGCGCCCCGCGACCAAGAATCGGACCCCATTCGTAAGAACCGGGACTGCTGTTGGCCGCCAGTTCCATGAGACCCATGCAGCGTTTCCACCGCCACACATCTCAAAGTTATCACCGCTTTTCATCCGGTTCGACAGCACCGCGAAGTCGATCGGGGACATCGTGCCGCCCTCGTCCAAGCCGAGCGGCATCTTTCCGCCTAAAACGCGGAAGTCATCCACCCTGCATCAGCACAACAATGCATTGGAAGCAAACTTGATGAAAGCATTTAAATTTAGGGAAGCACTGAACACAAGACCACAGCAGTTTTCGGCAGGCGACTCCATGAGGTTGTTCCATGCTTCCTGGACGGTGCACATCATTGCATGGTTGGTGTTCTTCAGGCTCGGTGCACTGCTAGCGGTTGTGGAGGCGTCATCGGCACCTCAGAAAGCATCACAATAAAGTTCCCTGGCTGTCCTTGCCAAAGTCTATCATTATCATTGTCATGTTGACACCCAGCAGCTGACAAGGGCTTCCGAGGAAGCTGTAGAAACGCGCGCCTTCTTTGTCGGAGGGGCCATGGTTGCAAAGGCAATGACAGACAATGACAATGCTACAAAAGAGGTACAAGATGACACTGTGACCCAGCATGCCCGTTGAGCTTTCTACGACTGGTTAAAGCATTTGAGAAAACACATTGACACAGCTTGTCGTGTGAGCTTTCTAGCTTTTATGATGACACATTGACCCTGCATGCGTGGAGAGCTTCTAGGACTACTGCAGACATCGGCAAGAAGACTCTGACTGACCATGGAGCCAAAGAGCCACAAAGGCAGCAGCAGGCCCACGTCCCAATGCACAATAATTTAATATCCCAACTCTCTAGCACATTCCCTGCAGAGATTGGTCTCCCTGCCAAGCAGCCATACATTCCTTTTCCGGGTGAGCAGCTGAGGACCTGGAGCAAGGGACGCACAGGTCTGTCATTG